TCTCTGGCTTAGAATTAAATTTTCATCTTTCTCTAGATTCTCTCCTGTCTTGCCTCAGAACAACTCTGACTTCGCCTTGTCTGTGAGACCGACCTTCACCTTCTGTTTGTCTATATTAAAGGCTTTCTCTCTTCATATGTGTCCATCACTTCTTTTAAATCCACCTTCATCGTCCTGCCATGAAATTTGAAAATCTTCATACCTGCATAATTGCATCCGATCTCTGCCCACCTTATCCTACCCAAACTCCTATAAACGTGTTGTCATCTCTGAAACTGATGTCCAAGTCACCTGGACGTTTTGCTCAATCCCTCCAGAATGGCTTTTTCATTGCCACAGCACTGCTAAAGTTTTTATTTGGGTAATGACATCCTTTGTGACTTCAATAAACATAAACTACCCTTCCTCAATGTGCCTGCAGCCTTTGATGTGGGAGTAGTCCATTCAGCCTTTCAAGCCTATTCAGAGAGAGAAGTTACGACACACCTCTGCAGCAGGGTCTCCTGCTCCGAGGTAGGGATACTACCATTGTGCCACGAGCTCTATTAATCCCAACATCTGAATCATTAATGCCTGTTTTGAACGTCTGCGGCCTAAACACTGACCCTTATGATATTCCGCCATTCATCTTGCTAACTTGAGAATAACCTGTTTATCGCCGTGATATTCTGCCTGTTAGCCAAGTGACGATGGTACATTGCCTCCTATACCATGTGCTTTAATTTTGCTAATCAAGTAATTTTGGGACCCTATCAAATGCTTTCTGGGAATGAACTATGTCCATCAATTGTACTTTATCCATTCCATTTGTAACATGCTCAAACATTTCACAACAATTTTGTCACATCCAGTTTCCCATTCATGCTGACTGTCTGATCAGACAATTATTATCCATGTCCCAATTTTGACATGTTTTATAATGGGTTGTATTTTCCCCACTACTGATGGAAGGCTAAGAACTGTAGTTCCCTGTTCTTTCTCTCGCTCCCTTGAATAGTGGGTTGATATTTGCACCTTTATAATCTGCAAAAACTGATCCAGAAACTAGAGAATTTTGGAAGACTAGACACAGTTGAATGCACTATCTTCCTAAGTCTCATTGCTGTCATCCAGCTTGTTGGACTGCTTTTGACTAGTTACTTTGGCTACCAATAGCTCAGGATATCACATACATTTACTTATCTTCCAATGTCACTGTCACTTTAGGATTTACCCATGATCCCATTCTAAGTCTTACCTACATGCCCCTCAGAAACCTCAGCATTGATATTCGACCTCCATCTGTATCTCTCACACCCTTTCTTGACTCCTTCACTGTCACCATCAACCCCTTATTCAATATTAATGCTGACTGAGCTGAAATTTTCTCCAATTTAAAATTGAGAGGACCGAAGTCCATTGTTTTCAGTTCCCACTCAAAATCCGATTCCCTAACTTTGACTCTGTTTGTCTCTCTGACAACATTCTGAGACTGTACCAGACAGTTCACAATCATAGTGTTCTTGAATTGAGCTTCCAACCACATGTTCACACTGAATGCCCATTTCCATCCATGTAACGTTGACTGATTTTACCCCTGCTGCTGAAGCCCTCAATCATGCCTCTGGTCTACCTGTAGATTCGGCTATTCTAACACAGTCCTGATTGACCTCCTAAGTTTGCAGCCTTCTTAAACATAGGCTAACAAAATTTTGGATTGTTTCATACCCTAACTAGCACCATGTCTGTCTATTCTGACCTATATTGGCTCCTTATCAAATGATATCTTGATTTTCTAATTCTCATCTTTGATTTCAAAACCAAGCGCTTCATCCCTCCACATCATTGTACATTCCTGTAGCTGTGCAACAACAACCACCTCCCTTCCACAATATCTGCGAACATTAATTCTGACCTCTTGCACATCTCCAATTTTAATTGCCCCATCATTAGTGGCAATCATTCAGCATCCTCAGCCGTAGTTTCTGGAATGGCTTCCATACAGCGCTCGGCCTCTACCTTACTTTGCTCCTGTCAACACCTGCTTATAACTTAGTTTTTAGTTGCCCTCATGTGGCATTTTATTTAATTTATGCCCCTGTGAAGCATTTTTATTTAATAAGTTGATTGTCCTTTACCAACTTTATTAGTAACATGCTTAAATAATTCCCAACAAGTTTGTCAAAACTTGGGTGTAAATATAAGTTCTCATTTATTCGCACGTTTGCACACTATTTCTGCTCTGTTGCAAAGTGTGAGGTGACTGATAGCTCAAACAAAATATACCAAAGACTTGAAAGATAATGATGGGTTTCATTTATAGAATGAAATAGAATCGTTTGCTTTTGCATATGCTCTGCTCTGCTGTTGAATAGCTAAGCTTGCCTGTACCAGCAATGTTTTCATTTGGCTTTTCATTTCATTTTCTTTGCGTATAAGCCTTTCTTATTTGATAATTTCTTTTACAACTTTGGATTGTGCATAATTCTTCTGACAATTTAACAATACAAAATTCATCCCTCACGTCAGCAATGATGTTTTCCTGAATGTGAGCATTCTCGTCCAACTTCACTGCAGTTTGGTCCCACTATGTTTAATAATTTTCTTCATTTCAAAAAATATTTTTCCTTTTATAGGGAACTTATGTACTCGACTTTAGTTCTGATTCAAAGTGAAAATAATCCGTTCAGCTCATCCTGTGTAATAAAAGTTTAACTCAATGATTTCATGATTTGAAAATTGTGGCTGCTAACCAGCAGAAACCATGCCATACCTCTGTTGCCTTTTTGTATCTGTTATTTACTTGCGCTCTTTCCTTTGAAATGATCTGCATATATATGCACTATAATGAATGAAGTAGAATAATTTTGTTCATGCATGTGCTGTTATCTCTGCTGTACTGTTTCATTCACCAGTAAACGTAACTGTATGGAGAATACGTTCAATTGGCTTCGTATTTAAATGTTTTCTTTGTATAAATGGCCTCCTTTTGCATATAAGCTTCATTTAAATTCTTGCCATTTTAAAATACATATTTAGCCTCCGGCATCTAATTTGGAAGTCCTATTGCTGAAGAACAGTACTGGTCAGAGGATCTTAGTGATTTCATAAATATTCAAATTTTCTATTGTCCGTTACTTAGTGTTGCAGGGGACTTACACAATGAAATCCATGACCTGGTTTCCACCCCCAGGGAGGAGAACATGCATTGAAGAGAGCAGCACATTTTAAAACTAATAGCCTGTAATCTACCACATTATCTGCTTAGTTAGAACTCTTCTGTGCACTGACGTTAAAGGGACAAGTCAAACGAAGACCACTTCGTTTCAACTAAAGATGTTCCTGCACTTTATCTTAACTCACTCACATGAAGTAGCATTTTGGATGAATTTGTGATTTGACCCTCTTCAGTTTTATGATTATATAACTGATTTTTGAAACCTAATACTTTGCAGAGAGTAAGTCCCTATATATCTTACATTCTTGATTTTGCTTAGCTGATGAGAGTCACTTTACTGAGAATTTTTATGTAACCTGGCTTCCAGCAAATCAATATTTTGTTCTTTGTTACTTTCCTGTTTGTTCTTTTTTTGCCCTGCCGTTCCACCTATTTGGGAAGCTAGAATATGGTTTGTGGTTTTGTTTTTTCTGAACTCAAACCTAACCAGAACTTCTTTCAAGTTTTAAATCACATGCTTTAAGTCAGCAGGGCTCATAGATTCCCACTACTAACGAACGTGGTGACAGAACACTTTTTTGTTTATAGCTGGAAAATTATTTTTGTTGGATTTTGAATAGGAACTAGGCAAATATAAACAGATGAGTAAACTGATATTGAAAGCTGGGGTACTCTGTTGAGTGCGCTGTCAAATAAAAGTCATTATCAAAGCCCATTAACCTCTGGGGAAAATATTTTCTCTTTCTGTAAACATTTGTCAAAATCTGCAGTATGATGCAATTTATTTTCATTCTTCAAAACAATGATGGAACACGTATCGAGAGCATAGAGTTGATCAAGAATGGAGTCTTTCTGTGTCCTCGAAAAACGGAGTGTATTGTTTTATTTTGGTGGTTTTTGTTAAGTTGTCTGGAAAAGCTATACAAGAGACTGTTTAAGTGGATATTATGAATTTTTTTAAAATGTTATTACTTTGGGTGTTGGAAAATGACAGCAATATTCATTTAATGTCCAACTGATCCTCTCTTTTCGTTGCACTTTTTTTGTTCTAAGTTCAGAACAATATCTTGATTGACTGAAATAGGATAAAGGATATTAAGGACTGGCAATATAATTAATTATTATAACCCTGAAAATGTTTTGTTTATTTTGGCCACAGAACATCGTAAAATTATTTCTTATTTACAGTTGACCCATGATTGTTAACGTGTGTAGGTGTCAGTACAATATGATGGATGCACCTTCTTGAGACTCTATCAGAATCGTGAATTTGTTTGCACTTTGTAATTTCATTACTGATATCGTCTTTGTAGTGTTAATTGTGCTTAAAATTTATGGGTTCAAATGGTTACCTACCACCAAATGTATTGTAGCGATGAGGCTATTGGTGATGTTAAAAAAGGAAACACAGAAGCTCCTGATGGTCCTCATAACCCAGAGCATAAACACCAACATGAACAGTTTGGGCTGAATTATCTTTACTATGCTGTTTATGATATGTAAATCGCCACATGGTGCAAAAAACAGTGTCTTTAGAAGGAAGGTTGTCATACTTGTGAACACCAGGTGATGTAGAACATTGTTGCCTGCAGAGACAAGGTGCTTTCACTCTGCTTGTCCTGTGTGAACCAGCTTGAGTAGCTCTCCCAGTTGAATTGATATTTTGTTTTCTGTGCCCTACATCAAGCATTCCTACATGGTTTGAAAGGGATTACCATCACGGCTCTCGCTTCAGAAAGGTGTTAGCACTGTAAACGTTGCAAGTGTCTAATTTCTGCCGGTATAAGCACTGTGGATTTAAATAATTTTAATATTAAATCCAGTGTCTATTTGCATCATTTAGCAGGAGATGATGAAAGCGAAGATGAAAAAGGCCACAAAGATGGTCGTCAGAAGAGGCAAGCTGCATCCAAAGCTGCAAGCAAACAGAGAGAAATCCTGCTGGATGACGGAGGGAGTGAAGAAGAGCATGAAGATGACGAAGAAGCTGTTCAGGAAAGTGAGTGAATTGATCTGTCCTCAAGGCTTCAGTGATATTTCTGCGCACAGTAAGATTATAATTGTAACCTTTAGTTTAATGGGAAGATTTTATTACTGTTCTGTAGTGGTCATTTAAAGTATGAGGGTCAGTGCTATGTGACCCAGACTAGGGCATCCATGATCTCTGTTGTGATAGCTGACGGTGGTCGTTCAGTGCTTGGAGGAAACATTAGCCTGTGTGTAGGTGTGAGTGGGAGTAAGATGAGCTTAGCCATACCCTTGTCCATGGGTTTAAAAAATGTTTGTCTTGGACACTTGGTTAGGTAAGTACTACGTGCAATAGAAGGGAAGATAAAAACATAAGAAATATAACATAGCAGCAGGTCATTCAGCCATTCAACAAATTTGTGGCTGATTTGCCTCAGACTTCACCTGCTGCTTCATGCTAGTTCAGCATAGTTGATATTTCAAAAATCTGTCTATCTCCTCTTTTTAAATACTTTAAGTAATGTAGCATCCATAACCCTTGGGAGTAAAGGAGTCTAGACATTTATGACTCTGTGGATGAAGAAATTACTTCATACTTAAGTTTTAAATGAGTGTCCCTTTATTCTGTGAGCATACCCCTTAGTTTGAGATTTCCCCTACTAGTGAAAACATCATCTCCATATCTGGAACAAAGAGCACAAAAAACAGTACAGCATGGGTACAGGCCCTTCGCCCCACCAAGACTGTGCTGACATATGCCCTTCTGAACTAAAAACCTCCTGCCTCTACACGTTCTGTATCCCTCTATTCTCTGCCAATTCATATATCTGTCAAGATGCCACTTAAACGTTGCTGTCGCATCTGCCTCTCCTACCTCTTCTGGCAGCACACTGCAGGCACTTTCCACTGTCTGTAAATAAAACTTGCCTCATGTCTCCTTTAAACTTGCCCCCTTTTACTTTAAGAAAGATACCCTGTCAAGCCCCCTCAGAATTTTGTATGTTTCAATCATTCTAAATGCTGTGAATAAAAGCATAACCTATTTAGCTGTTCTTGATAAGTCACTCCCTTGATCCCAGGAATTAGCCTGTGAATCTGTTTCAGTAGATTCCAATTTCAGTAGATTCTTTTTAAGTATGGGATCCAAAACTGTACACAGTACTCGAGTTGCAGCCTTGCCAGTCTCTCTGCAGTTGTGACAAGAATTCCCTGCTTTTAAACTCCAACTCCTAGCAATAAAGGCCAAATTCTACTTGCTGCCTTAATTGCTTGACATATTTGCATGCTAACGTTCTGTGTTTCATGTGTAAGAATACCCAGGCCCCTCTGCACTGAACTTTATCGGAGTCTCTCTCTATTTAAATAATAGTGTGCCTTTTAATTCTTATTATCAAAGTGGATGACCTTTCCTACAGTAAACTCCATCTGCAAACTTTTGTTCACTCTCTCACCCTATTGCAGGTTCTTTATCTCATTATACAAAAAGAGTCAGAAGGGTATGTTGTAGTGAACGAATTTAGATACAGCACACTGTTTCCCCTCCTCCAAGTCATTAATATAGATAGAAAATAATTTATGTTCTAGGACTGATTGTTGTGGCATTCCACAAGTCACATCTTTCCAGCCTGACTCTCTCATGTGTATTAATCAATTCTCAATCCATTACCTTGATGTCATGCGCTCCTCTCTTGTGTAGTAACTTCTTTATGGCACCTTATCGAATGCCTTCTGAAACTTCAAATACACTTGATCTAGCAGTTACCCTTTTATCACTCTGCGTTTTATATTCCCATACAACAGTTATAAATTTGTCAAACATAATTTCCCTTTCATAAAACTGTTAACTCTGTCTGATTGTGTTAAGCGTTTCTGAATGACCTACTATTTCTTAATAATGGACCTAGCACTTTCCCAATAATAGATGTTAGGCCAAAAGTCCTGTAGATTCCTCTTTCTGTCTCTTTCCCTTCTGAAACAGGGCTATCACATTAACAGTTTTTTAATCCATTGGAATCTTCCCAGAATCAAGTGAGTTCATCAGTATGTTGACCAATGGCATCTCTATCTCTGTAGCCACTTCCGTTAAGACACTTGGATGCAGGCCAGCAGGCTGTGGCAACCTGTCTGCCTCTTCTTCCATTAGATTGTCAAATTCACCCCCCCCCACCCACTTTGTGTAGAGAATGTTACAAGATCTTTCCTCCCATTGGCACCTTGTTTATCTATATTTTTTTCAATGTTTATTGTGTCCTCTACCATGAAGACCAATGCAAAATACTGATTTAAATTATTTGCCATTTCCCTTTTTCCCATTATCAATTCCCCAGTTGTATCCTCACTTATAGTACTCTTTTGTTTTAAATATACACATAGAAACTCTTTCTGTTTGTTTTTATTTTTCTTGCCAACTTACTTTTGTAATTGATTTTTCTCCCTTTCCTTAATTAACTTTTTAGTCATCCACTGTAGGTTCCTAAACAAAAATAAAATCCCAATCCTCTGGCCTACTGCTAGTCTTTGCAGCTTTGAATGCCTTCATTTTTGATTGGATATAACCACTTTTGTTAACCATGGATGGTTTCACCCTTCTCATTGAGTCCTTTTTGACTGGAGTTCATTTTTGCTGAGCATTATGAAATATCTGCATAAATGTCTGCTGCTGCTCATCCACTGACTTTCCCCTTAGTCTGTTTTCCCAGCATACATCCTCTTTCTTCATATCCCTGTAATTGCCCCTGTTTAAGTTGATGACTCAGATCTGAAACCTGAGTTGCTCTCCATTAAACTTAACTTGAAATTCTACCGTGTTGTGTTTGCAACTCCCAAAGAATCCTTAACTACAAGATCTCTTATTAATCCACCTTATAGCACATTACTAGATCTAAAATAGCCTGTTCCTGGGAAGATTCTGTAATGTACTGCTGTAACAAGCAGTTCCTTGATGCACTGTAGGAAACGTTTGCCACGTCACCCACAGCCACCTGATTTGTTCAGTCAATATGCAGAGTAAAATCACCCATGACAACATCATTCTCTGATTTGTACTTCTTCTTGCAGCGAGCCAACTCTTTGGGGGCCTATTGATGACTTCCACCCATGACTTCTTTCCCTTGCCATTCCTAGATGACTTGGAGCAGTGTGGAAAAGGATAAATTTTGTTACATCATCCGACACTCTGGCTTACTCTGTTTTACTGCTGGCATCCTCATTGAAATGAATAGGTGTCTCCATCATATATTTGTTTTAAATTTGAAACCATGTTATTTTTGTATGAAAAGGTTTATATTTCTTTAAAAGCAGGTTGGCACAATTGTACAGCCCTGATATGCAACAATAGATAATTGGACATTTTTGAATTGGAACCAAAATTCTGAATGAATGATGTAGTTATAGGCTTAAGTTTGTGTTGGTAAATTCATGTTTAATTTGCTTGATGTGTAAGTGGGGTGCGGGGTATGGTGGAAAGAGATATTCCATTTAAATAGAAATTAAAACTTGTGGATTTGATTGTCTGTAATCCTATATACTGCCTTGCTAATTTCAAAATCATTGTGGAAGTAAGTTATGCTGTGTAGTTATGTAGCAATCAACCTCAATAAATAGTCTTCTGATACTGCCACAATACACATACTAGGGCGCCAGTTCTGCCCATGGAATGGTTAAACTACCTGGAGAATAGAAGTACTGTACACTATTTTCTGCTTCCTAAATATTTCTCAGTGACTGAATATAGTATCACAAGCAAATCGGGGAAAACTGCATGACAAACCAATGCTAGTTGGTGTCTGAGCCTTTGTGAGCAGCACTGCTTGCTCCGAGTGAGGTAAGTACTGCTGTTGGTTTAATTGAAAGGCATTAAGACTTGAGTTAATAGCTGTCTAAATTTCACTAATTTTAGTTGCTTACTTGTGAGCATGCCATATTGTTAATATCATTGTTCAGCCATCGTGTGTTCATCAAGCTTATTAATCCTTGATTATTATGGTGACTTGAATTTTTTGTTTTAAACTTGGTAAACATAATGAAAATTTAATGTAATTTCAACTATTCATTCCTGTGTATATGATTTGAGACCGGAGAGCTTATTGTGATTTAATTGTAAGAAGTGTGCGAATTTATTGCTGTAACAGTAAAGGGGGACACATTTGAGACGACATAACTGCAGTCCAAATAAACTAACTACAGATGAAGTCAAGTAATCCTGATGACACAGCTAGAGATAGTGAAAATAAATGTGATTTATTTTTCCTTTCAGAATCACACTAGTTAATATTGTACATTTGCTAAATATGTCTGACTGGATTCCATTGTTGTACTTCTCTTCAAAGGCAACAGTTTTTGGAATTTCCTGAAGATGAAAATGTCCATCATGTTTACAAGCAATTATGAGAAATTAACATCTAGCTTTTTTTTTGCTTGAATCACTATAATCCTTAATTTGCTCAGTGGCAGCAGAAGACTCCCAGTTGAATGTGTAGTGCATCTGGTTGGAAGCAAGAGTTCGGACACTTTTTAAAATCTCTTCTTGACTTCATGGAAGGTGTAAACATGAGTAGCAAAACACTTACTTACTTTATTAAGGATGTTCAAACATTTTTAACTAGGAAAGATATAAAGGTATAGAAGCTCCACCACAGATTTATTGGAATGTTAGCTGAAATGTGAGGCTTAGTTATGAAGTACCATGTGAGAAGAGCATTTTTAATTGGATTATTTAATTGGATTAATTTTATGATTAAGTAGTGACTCAGATGAGTGAATACGTTTTTATTCCTCTTAAAGGGAGATATTTGATTTATACAGAGGTATGAAAAAAGTTCCAGAATGTACTGTAATACTGGAAGCTAACTAATGGTTTTTTCCCCCCAAATGTTATGGTTCTTTTATTCATGGATTTATTGGCAAATATAGGAAAGTTGCAGTAACATTTTGTATCTGGATGATGTTAAATTAAAGTTTATTTTAATCAGCAGTGGTTCCTCAACTGAGGCATAGTCATACAGCACTGAAACAGACCCTTCGATCCAACTCGTCTACACTGACCAAGCATCCCAATCCGACCTAGTTCCATTTGCCAACATTTAGCCCATATCCCTCTAAACCCTTTCTATTCACGTACCCATCCAGATCCCTTTTAAATGTTGTAATTGTCCCCGTCTCCACCATTTTCTGTGGCAGTTTGTTCTGTACATGCACCATCTACTGCGTTTTTAAAAAAAAAAGTTTACCCCTCAGGTCCTCTTTTTAAATCTTTCCCCCTCACCTTAAACTTATGCCCTAGTGTTCTGGACTCTTCCACCTAGGAAAAAGACCTTTGGGTATTCACTGTATCCATTCCCATCTATAAACCTCTATAAGGTCACGCCTCAGCATCTGACGCTGCAAGGAAAAAAGCCCTAGCCCATTCAGCCTCTCCCGATAACTCAAACCCTCCAGTCCTGGCAAAATCCTTCTAAATATTTTCTGAACTCTTTCACGTTTAACAACGTCCTTTCTATAGAAGAGCGACCACAATTGTGCGCAGTATTCTAAAAGTGGCCTCACCAATGGCCTGTACGACCACAACATGATGTCTCAACTCCTATACTTAATGATCTGACCAATGAAGGCAAGCATGCCAGATGCTGCCTTCATTCCCCTGTCGACCTCTGACTCCACTTGCAAGGAACTATGCACCTGCACTCCAGGTCTCTTTGTTTGGCAACATTCCCTAGATTCCTATCTTTAATTATGTAAGTCCTGCCCTTTTGATTTGCCTGACCATAATGCAACACCTCACATTTATCTAAATTAAACTTCATCTGCCATTCACCTGCCCAAAGTCCAGTTTTACTATGAGGTAATCTTCTTCACTGTTCACTATACCATCTATTTCAGTGTCATCTGCAAACTTACTAACCAATACCTCCTATATTCACTTCCAAATCATTTACATAAATGATGAAAAACAGTGGACCCAGCACTGATCCTTGTGGCATACTGCTGGTTACAGGCCTCCAGTCCGAAAAGCAAACCTCCACCACCACTCTGTCTCTTACCTTCAAGCCAATTTTGTATCCAGTTGGCTACCTCCCCCTGGATCCCATGTGATCTAACCTTACTAACTAGGCTACCATGTGGAACGTTGTCAAACGCTTTGCTGATGTCTCAATCTCTCCCACTCTACATTCATCAATCTTCTTTGTCACCTCTTTTTTTAAAAAAAATAGAGCTCAGTCAAGTTAGTGAGACACCGTTTCCCACGCACAAAGCCATGTTGACTATCCTTAGTCAGTCCTTGCTTTTCCAAATGCATGTGAATTCATGCAATAACTTATCCACCACTAACATAAGGCTGTCCAGTCTATGGTTCTCTGGCTTTTTCTTACAGCCTTTCTTAAGTAATAGCACAACATTAGCGATCCACTGGTCTTTGGCACCTCAGCCATAGCTGTCGATGATACAAATAAGTCAGCATGGGACCCAACAATCACTTCCCTAGCTTCCCACAAAGTTCAGGAAGACACCTGATCTGGCCTTGGGTGTTTATCTACCTTTATGCATTTTAAGACTTCCAGCACCTCATCTTCTGTAATATGATCTCTTTTTAAGATATCACTATTTATTTCCCCAAGTTCCTTAGCTTCCATGTCCTCCTCTACTGTAAATACTGACAAAATATTGTTTAATATTTCGCCCATCTCCTGTGGTGCCACACATAGATGGCCGCATTGATCCATAAGGGGCCCTATCCTCTCCTCAGTAATTATTTTTTAACCTTTTCAATGTACTTATAGAATCTCTTTGGATTCTCCTTTACTCTATTTGCCAAAGCTGTCTCATGTCCCCTTTATGCCATCCTGATTTCCCTCTTAAGTATATTCCTACTGTCCTGTAGGGATTCTCGTCTAAGGATTTGCTCAATCCCAGCTGTCTATGCCTGACATATGTCGCCTTCTTTTTCTTGACCAGTGCCTCAATTCCTCTAGTCACCCAGCATTCCTGACACCTACCAGCCTTGCCCTTCACATTAGCGGGAGCATATTGTCTCTGAACTGTCGTAATCTCCTTTTAAAAGGCCTCCCACTGCCCAACCATCTCTTTACCTACGAATAGCCTGCCTCTATCAAGCTTTGAAAGTTCCTGTTTAATAGTCAAAAGCAACTTCAGGTAGCAGTGGCAGGTTCTTTTCCTTCAAGTGTTTTTCAGCAGAGTTTTATCTAATAATGGTCATAAAATAACCAGCTTTCCAATTCTCAACTTGTCAAGCCAATCCTTGAATTCGCATGTCTGGGTTTCCAGTAAAGCACTGTAACTACTCCAGCCTCCATTAACATAATAGCAGCTGTGCGTGCTTAATCTGTAACAAGGCAGATTTCATGAAGGCCAAAATGTTCTTAGAAACATTTAAGTTTAGGATTTTAATAACATTTTTGGATAGTATTTATTGTGACCAGTGTGAAAAAGGATTAATACTTTTATGGCTGAATTTCACAATTCTTCAATATTATTCTAGAAGGGGATTCTGGAAGTGATGCAGACTTTTATGTGGAAGATGATGATGACAGCGACTATGAGAGCTCTTTGAAGAAGAGCAAAAAGGGACGGAAGACTAAAACAGTACCTGAGAAAAAAGAAAAGAAGACGCCCAAACCCAGGCTTAGTGCCACAGGTAAGCTGCATACTTCTGCTAATGGGAAACTTGCTGTGTGCAGAATTTCAACATTGCTAAAAGGAAATAATTTGAAGCTTTTTCCTCTTGCATTCATCTGGACTAGGATGGAAGAAACAGACTTGAGAAACCAATTTATACAGCTATTGTAGGCATTACATTGCAGCAGGAACCATTAACTGTGAATTATTATTAGATAAAAGCAAAATACTGCAGTTGCTATAAATATGAAACAAACACAGCAAATGCTGGAGAAATTCAGCAAGTGTGGCTGAAGTTTTGAAGAGTCATACTGGACTCAAACATCAACTCTTGTTTCTGTCTGTCCAAGTGCTGCCAGATCTGCTGAATTTCTCCAGCATTTTGTGTTTTTATCAACCTTCGTTCTGAGGTCAGGCAACCTAACTGATCAATCAGGGTGATGTGTGATGCAGGAGAGATTTGCAATCTCCATAATCCCTTTTTAGGAAAAAGTTGCAACATTTCTACAAACTTTGCCAATGTAAAACAGCGTCCTATATATTAATATATGTAGCTTTTAACATGCATACATGCTTCACACTACGAGCCCAACTGATTTTCCTAAATTGGGTTCTGGTGTAATTCTCTGCACAGTCTGGATTATTTAATACATTATGTCCAGTAGCAAAATCACATCTAATGGTGAATGTGTTGTTCTGAGGCTGGTTGAGTCTGTTAGTTAGCATGCTGCCCACTGCAATTATCAGTGGAACATGTTGTTTGATACGATCTGCCAGTTGTTGGGGTATGATCCTACATAACTGGCATCATACCAGCACTGAAACCTCTCACACTTCTGAGAAGCCTCCACCTTCAATGGTAATTTGAGGTAAACTGGGGACAAAGCTGGTGAACATCGCACTTTTTTTCAAATTCAGCTAGTGATGATTGACCAGGATGGCCTTTAGCAAGCTAGGTTAGATTTCATATGCTTATCTCAGCATTAAGCTTGCACAATGAGTAGATGCTCAGGGCCTATTTGCAAAGTTGCCTAAAAGATTTATGTGCCATGTGGAACTTTAGGAATCCAACCTGTATATTGATTGGTGAATGTAGGTAGCGCAGAACACAGTGATTTCTCAATAAGTACATCAAAGAAAGTGAAATTGTTCCACCTCAATGGTAAGATTTGATCGCAGGATGGATTTCAAGCTGTGTAAAGAAACTCAGCTGAGGATTCATAGGCTGCTGGTAGCCATTGAAATTTTGAGTTTTTGCCCATTATTTAGGTTGGGGTTTAAATTGGTCTGCTGTGATGTTTTATATTAAAAGTTCAAGTTTATTGTCTTGGAATGTCTACTGCAACAGTTATTTCAGCTGCATGCTTTCACCTCCCAGAAAGGAATTATTATTTTGTTTGTTCGTTCAGTGTCTTATAGTTCTGTGTAGCCATGCTAAGACATTTAATGGATTGAACCAGTGCCTTTACATTGCTGTGCTCTGAGTTGGCTTTGTATCAATGAGTTCCATACTTTGTTTTGTTTTTTTTTGTCATATTTCATCATTTAACAATTGGGAAACGTTTTCAACAAATCATTTACTGCAAGTATGGTTGTACTTCCTTGTTGAAGGTAGTTCGACATTAAAATATCAACCTTGTACCAGTTCTGTGTATCTATCCAACGTCTCATCAATTTAGCACTAGTTCTTTTCTTCCAAATGTTACCATCATTTGACTACTTATTAAAGAAGCTCACCACTACTTTCTAAAGGGCAACTAGCGAAGGGAAATAAATGTTGGCCCAACCAGCAACTCCCACATCCCACGAGTGAATAAAGAAAACTGGGGCGGCGCAGTGATCAGCACTGCTGCCCCTCCGCACTAGGGACCTGGGTTCAGTTCAATAGGGGGATGATTCTGGGTGGGATGCTCTTAGGAGAGTCTGTGTGGACTTGTCT